CAGCTTGAACAAAAAAGCAAACTGATGTTCTTTGCATTGTCTCCACTCAGTTCTACTTGGAGTACCACCTAGCTACTGGTACTGCCTGCTCATTTGTTATTTTTTTTTCAAAATCCATAGTATTGACATATCTGTGATAGCAGTCCCAAGCTTAATCTCAGGCAGCTTTTGCCAAATTGTCAGGGAACTCAGATTTGATTTTTAACCCTCGCCGGCCGAGGGGGGGGGCGGGTGCCCCCCCCCCCCCATAGGGTTTTTTTCGCGATAGCTCCAAACACGCTGGCGATAGAGAGCTGAAACTTGGCATACCTGACCTTTGATCCAAGCCGCATCTTTTGACACCAACCGCATTTTTGGGTCAGGTCAGGTCAGGTCACTGACCTATGACGTCATAAGTGAACCTCTGCACGGTCTTCAGATGTCGCAACTTCGCAACGCCCTCACTGCCAGAGGAGATGTCACAGGGAAATGAAACTTGCAGGATCTAGTATCCATTATGAGTCTCACAACTTGTATATCTCGGATTTTTCCTAAAGGTCATATGAGGTCAGGTCATTTTCGTGACCTCACCATTATAAGTCAATGGGGAAAAACTCAAACTGCTATTCTGGCGCCGGGAGCGATCTCCAACTATCTCAAGCACACAGAATCGTGATTTGATGCACTCCTTGCAAGGTTAGATGCGTCACTTTTGCAATGTTGACCTTCCGTGACGTCATTTATGACGTCATCAAGGTCATATTAGTTTTTCGTCAATAACTCCCGGTCAAATTGAGCTAGCGAGTCGGGAAAGCCACCAATGGACTCAGGAAGACCTGCCGAATCGAATGATATGCGACATGACCTCTTTCGACCAACTTCGTGACCTGGGGGTGCTGACCTGACCTTCACCTGAGGTCAACACCCTAAGTTGACCTGACCCGAACAAAAAGTGTATCATTCGACGCGCCTGAGCAAGGCGAACACGATGCTGCCAAAATCGCGGCTCTGCGGCCGTTTTTTGCGAAGTTATTCACCAAAAACTGAACCGTACCTTGGGGCACTTGACCTGACCTCAGAGGTCACCGGTTGACCTAGGACCTTAAAATCGGGTACCAATCTCTGCGTCTCGAAACGGCGCTCGTTTTTTCCGCGACGCGCTAGCTCCACCAGGGGCGAAACGGCGAGGGGGGGGGGGTCGTACCCGCCCCCCCTCGGCCGGCGCGTATGTAGAAAACCAATAGGTCCGGCTAGGGTTAATAGAAAAAAAAACAAAATTCTAACGAATAGCGTTTTACTATTGACAACAAACCTTTACCTTCGGGTATGAAAAATCATAAAAATGAAAAAAATGCTTCACAGTTAACAAACAATTTAAGTTTTATGATCACAACAGGGCAGAGGATTGAGGAACAGACCAAGATTGAGATGCTTTACAGATTCAATAATGCTCAGCTTTAATCAATAATTCCTGACCAGACTTGTGCCGTGACCAAAAATCAAGATCCAGGATCCTCAAGGTCCCACGGCAAATTCAATTTCTAGAATCCAAGGTTTCCAAGGTCCCACGGCAAATTCAATTTCTAGAATCCAAGGTTTCCAAGGTCCCACGGCAAATTCAATTTCTAGAATCCAAGGTTTCCAAGGTCCCACGGCAAATTCAATTTCTAGAATCAAGGTTTCCAAGGTCCCACGGCAAATTCAATTTCTAGAATCAAAGGTTTCCAAGGTCCCACGGCAAATGTACATTGCAGGATCCACAGTCCCCAAGGTCCCACGACAAGAATGCATTGCAGGATCCACAGTCCCTAGGGTCCCACGACAAGCGTGAATTTCAGGATCCACAGTCCCCAAGGTCCCATGATAAGTATACACTTCAGAGTTCAGGGTCCACAGTCCTACAGGTCCCACGGCAAGAATACATCTCAGGATCCAAAGTATTCAGCGTCCCACAACAAGAACTTAAACTAACATTCTGATGAGCAGGCTTACTTCTAAATATTCTGCCAACAGATGCCCAGCAACATTGAAAGGGGCAGAACCTATGCAAACCTGTGGCGGTTTTATCATTTACCAACATACTACATAGGTAGGGGGAGCTTCAACACAAGTCAAAGTTAAAGATGAATCATGATATCAATCTCTCCTTCTTTAGCCGGACAAAGTCATAAAAATATAGGTAGGTAATAGGTACCTTGCATTTTGTATTGTCATGTTCTTTCAAATCAATCTTACCTGATCATTAGGAATGTAGGATATGATAGCACCTTACAGTTATTGAAGACAGAAATCCAAGTATTCTTTCAGGCAAGATCAAAAAACCAGAAATAAAACCTACAGGCTTCAAAAAATGGAAAATTGAATTGGATAGGTATATGCTTTCGATTTTCTGCACATTCAGTTACATAATACCTAGAGCTCTGTTCGCACCCCGTTTATTTATCAGCAGGCTGCGACCATGCTGCTAACTTCTTGGCTCCTCATTGGTCGAATTCAAGTGGTCTATTCGTTAGACCAATAAGAGGCCAAGCCGCGCCAGCAATAACCGACAGCACGCTGATATAAAAACAGCGACCGAGCAGGGCCCTGGATAAAAACTCAAATATGTTCTAAGTCTTGTTTGCGCGAGCGCTCACAGAAAAAAAAACACTGATCGATTAAGCCAATAGAATTAGAGTATCAGCGAGCGCAAACCTTACTTACTGTTCATTCACATTAGGCTCTGAACAAAATTCCATTTGACAATTTTTTCGTCAGACGGTTCTTCGTCGGCAGATTTTCGTCTGACTTTTTCTTGGACTTTTTCGTCTTGCATTTATTGGTCTGTACGAATTGATTTGGTGCATTTTTCGTCGGAGTGTTTTACTGTCCGGCATTTTTTTCGTCTGGACGAGGCGGAAAATGTCCTTACGAAAAAAATGCGCGGACTTAAAAATGCACAGGCGAAAAATGCATAGACGAAAGTCTGCGGACGAAAATCTGCAGACGAAAAATTGTCCGACGAAAACCTGCTAAACGGAAAAGTTGAACTGTCATGCTCATGGAATCATTGCTTATATTGGATGCTCATTGCGCAATGGTGATTTGATGACTTGCAAATCGAATAAGTTTGACACTTGCTTGGTCAGTGGGTCAGGGTAGCTTCCAAGTAGCTTCAAGCCCGGCATATCACAACCCAGAAAACAAGGCCCAGAAAATATGTGAGGTGAGATTAGAAAAGAACTTTCCAAACCACCACTGTCCACTGTTTGACAGTTTCATAATCCATAACATTGATAATGTAAAAAGCTACCAGGTCTCTTGTTTCAGTTCTGCCTCACAGCCATGACAATGATTTGGCTCTGTATATGTCTACACAGTCTGGTTCATTTTCTCTTCATGTATCTATATTAGCCCCTTGCAGCTGGTCGCTCAGCGGCTCAACCATAGATATTTGCTGAAGTGTTTACAGACAAAACCTAGTGCAGGGTCCTTAGTGGCCATGTGCAACATAAACCTCATGGTCCAGCTTCCAGGATTCTTGAGGTCCCTCAAGAATATGATGGTATAGATCCAGACCCTTCTCCTAAGATCCCATGACAAATAATAAAACTGGGACTGAAGGTCTGCATTCTGCAGGGTCTTGCAGCATATCAAAATTTTGAGGTCCTGACCCCCTGGGTTTCCATGGTTTCAGGGTTTCCATGGTTTCACGGCATATGAAATGTTGAGGTCCTGGGTTTCTATAAGGTCTCATGTTGATGTCACATGAAATGTTGATGTCCTGGGATTCCAAGGTCTCGCGGCATATGCAAATGTTGAGGTCCTGGGATTCCAAGGTCTTGCGACATATGCAAATGTTGAGGTCCTGAGATTCCAATGTCTCGCGGCATATACAAATGTTGAGGTCCTGGGATTCTAAGGTCTCGCGACATATGCAAATGTTAAGGTCCTGGGATTCCAAGGTCTCGCGGCACATGGATGTTTTAAGGTCCTGGGTTTCCAAGGTCTCACGACAAAAATGACAATGCAAGGTCCAGGATCCATCAAGGTCCCAGACCTTGGACTCTGCGAACCCTGGATCTCGGACCTTTTTGGGACCTTGGCACAAGTCTGTTCCTGACAACATTATTATGCATGAAAAAAAGAGCATTTGGAGTTTAATGTTTAAATAAGCTGACACAAAGGTCATTACCAAAAAAGAAAGGTATCTAAACACAGGCGGAAACTCAAACTCCTCAAACTGAGGCAAAACTGCAACGCTCTTGACTTTTGTCACATACCAACTTTGCACTGTCACACCCAGCAAACTACTGATCTTCTGCAGTTAAAAAGCTAAAAGCTCTAAAAATATTGTTATATTTTCAGTATCACCTGAAGAATTCAATTACGGCCTTGAGTTTAAATTAAAAAAAAAAAACGAAATACAGCAGCGCTCGCGCCTCGCTCCACTCTTTCACAGTTCTCTATATACCGTGTCTTTCACCAGGGAGACACCGGTTGGTCACGTGACTCGGAAACAAAAATCAGCTGATAGAGTGGCGGAATCGCCGTTATCAGACACGAATAATTCCGGACGATAGAACGGCAGTATAGGAGTCTTCTTCACAACAGGCAAACATTGCCATGTTTATCATTCAATGATCAAGAAACGTTCATAAATTATATATTTCTTCGACGATTACCGCCGCAACCAGCGCGCACATATCGTTAGCAGCACATAAAGCTTGCGTTGATGATCTAGGCATTCTATCTTGCGTCAGCCTTCTACTTACGCTTTTATAATTACGACAACGACACCATACGGCCTATCGACAATATGCAACTCCGTGGAGCGTCCGGCCGCACTCTGCAGAGTGTGCCGAGATCGGTGGCGGACCATCCGCGGCCGTCCACCTGCGCTGCCCCGTGCCCGGTGCCCGACCGCTGGATGGGCGACGCCGACGCCTAGCTCGTCTGGATACCATCCACTCAACGGTTACACAGATGCAAAAAGACGACTGGGCGGTGGCTGCCAGCTGCGCACACAACTAAGCTACCTGGCTACGCCCTCTCGGGGAGGGGAGGGAGGAGCAACAACCGTTAACAGTCTGAACTCTGATGAGCCAATGGAGTCTGTGAGCCGCGCCAATCAGCGCTGTTCCGCGCGTAGACGGGAGCTCTGTTTTCGCTGGTCCGTCAGTCACCAGCATCGTTCCGTGCTCTCGCTCATAGCTATTCGGCCGTGTTTTCGTGTGTAGGTCAGCAAAAACAGTGAGAGAGATTCTCGGATCGCGCCAGTCGGTCGCAAGGGTATCTATTGTCTATGTACTTTCCAGTATTGCAAACGTTATTGTTAGGAGCCGAGGGTAATCAGCAGTCGACGCATTTGTTCTGTTATAATAAAATTGAAAATAAAGCGAGGTATATTCACTTAAATTCACATATCACCTTTAATTTTTTGGCACGGACTACTTGCCCCTGCTACAGCACACAGCCGATCTCTATGTTTCTGTTCCAGAGCTGCAGTGGACACGGCAAAAATACACTTCCGTTCTGAAAACTTAATCCAAAAGTACACAGATTTCACGACGAACTACCACTTTCATACCATTTTCTTGCTCACAGGTGCTCAGCAATAAGCGCGCGACTGATTGCAGCTAGTGCACTCACGATTACTAGTTCGCGCTCGCCAAACCTGTCATTTACATCCACCACCAATACCATCAACATCTGTCCAATTAAGTACCTATTACCATATCGAGCCAGAATGAGACCACGACATATTATCGTCCTATTACATAGCACAAATTCAGGGGTGGGGAGGGGGGAAATCCGTAAAGATACCAAACTCCAATCACCGCCAACATCGTTTTGGGACGGGGAGTCGAAGCCGGGGCTCGTATCGACGTATCCTTCACATATCTGGGCGTCTCACTCCTTTCGACACTTAATCAACCCTGGCACACCATCCACCGGGCCAGGTCGGCTCCGACCATCTTGAGTTCCATACTGAGATCTGATAACTGACCGTCATTTGTTCCTATCAGTCAGCGCGCACTATGCCTTAGCACAGCAAGTGCACTATGCGGCCTTCTTTAGATACCGCCTCGGAGCAGGGCGCTGGTCCTGGGTGCCTGGCGCCTTTGTTCGTGTACGGCTAGCAGCATTTTCGGGGTCCGATGGTTTCCGCAGTGGCGGCGCTGGTCACCGTGGAGCCGTCGGACGACACCGTCAGATGAAGCGCCCGCAAATGGTGACCTGTGACACAGCGAGTCGCGACACGTCAGGTCTCACGACGACCGTCCCGTTTCGGTCGCGACGGCCGTTATATAAACAGTCACGGCGGCCGTCACATACCAGGCACAGTGACCGTTACACACGAGCCAATGCGATCGTCAATTAGCAGTCACGGCGACGTCACAGGTTGCTACGGTCGTCAAATTTCCGCCACGGCGACGACAACTCATAGCTCATATCGTTTCCTGTCGCACACTTCGCCGTAATTGCAATACACTAGCCTGTTTATACGTTTATCACTCAAAAGTCGTAGCCCGAGTTTGAGACCCATCATACGTCACGATCCCTGCAACGGCACCTGCATTAGCAGGCATCCCGTCCCGGCAACACACAAAGTTCTCTCCACTCTCCAGCCACTCACCTAGGGACTTGGGGGGGGGGGGGGGGCGAAGTAATCTTGGGGGTGACATAGCCAGGACGTGTAGTCGAGCTGCCGTCGGCGGGCGTGCCACGAATGGCCGGCGGACCTCCGTCGGCTGGCGGGCCACCATCAGCCGGAGGGCCGTAGTCGGCCGACGGGCCGGTGTCGGTCGACGAGCCACCGTCAGCCGGCGGGCCGGTGTCGGCCGGCGGGCGGGCCACTGTTGGCCTTTGAGCCGGCGTCCGTCGGTTGGCCTCCGTCCGCTGGCGGGCAGTCTGCATAACAACAAATAAGTAGTTGAATTAGTTACTCTAGTGTTCACTGTTCAAGTTCATTGGTTACTCTTCATCAAAATTGTGTTTCTTTATAATCTTTAATGTAAAAAACTGAAGTTTCACCATTACTCTGGACACTGTGCTGAAATTTCAGCGCAATCCGCCTGTTACACCCGACATGTTGATGGTAACCTGGTTTATATGTGATATGTACCTACGACATTATATTTGCTCAATTAATTTTTCTCATCTGCACTGCTGAAAGTGTTTCACTGAAGACGTTGGTAACGATAAGGCAGACGTAGCACAAGCTTCTTCTTTCTTCTTCTTCGTGGATTAGGGCGCGTAGCCAATAACAGGTTCAAGGTTGTAGGTTAATACGCATTCCCGCCCAAATGGCAGCTCGTGCTATGTTCGCCCAACCGATACCAAGACGTCTTCCCTATGAGACAAAACATTTATAATCATTAATGAAGAATATACTTAATATGGTTTACAATTTACATAGCCTTGCTTAATACATTTTTTCATGGTCCTTTTGATCAGGTTGTAGGTAATACGCATTCCCGCCCAAATGGCAGCTCGTGCTATGTTCGCTTAACCGATACCAAGACGTCTTCCCTGTGAGACAAAACATTTATCCAGTGTATATAAATAACATTTATAATCATTAATGAAGAATATACTTAATATGGCTTACAATTTACATAGCCTTGCTTGATACATTTTTTCATGGTTCTTTTTGTCTCAGACCTCACTGCTCTAGAGGCCAACTTGAGTCATTCCCAGCTATTTGAATATCACAGATAAGAAGCTAAAACACAAAATCACCCAACCGGTCACTGATAATCTCCCACGATGAAAAAACAGGTTTTAAAATTACCTATCCGTTTCCCATCAACATAAACCAATATCAACAAAAACCAAGTCAGAAAACATGTTGAAACTAAAAAGTGTTCTCTGTCAGCAAATAAAACGTCGCTTAGCCAATCGAATACAACGTCGTGCGTCTGCTAGCGACAAACGTAAGTATTAGCAGCATTTACAGTACGCAACTTGTGGCTGTAAATCATGGCCCGCAGGGTTCAACACCGAATTCTGCGAGTTCCCGATTTATATTGGTCTTAAAAGTTATCTAATCAGATAGAGAATTTAATTTGCTTAAATATCGTGACTTCAATAGATGCCGACTCGGTCTTGTTTTTTAGTAATATTCTATTGAATGTTACTGTGAGACCTTTAGCAGGAAGGACGCTAATACATTCCAGACCAGAAAAATGTAGCTTGCAACATCAAAACTGCAATAAAACATGCATATCTGGAAAGCAAATTGAATTATAATTTCAAAGAAGTCCTTTTGCACGCCAACCTCCGACAGCTTTACCAAATATTGTTGTTTTTGTTCAGGACTGTTCAGTTTCTAAAAAAACTAAGTTTCATATTCGGAAGCCAATAGCCAAATTTCCCGATTTAGATGAGCTTTGATATTTTGATATGTTATAATGTGAGTATTTTTTATTATTTTAGTGATTCATTTAGATGCCGACTCGGTCTTGTTTTCAACAAATATTACATTTAGTGGGACAGGGTGACCAAGGACACCAATGGCGGTTGTGTCTTCAACATCAACTAAATACAGTTTCAAATGTTTAAAAGCCAACAAAACACACATAATCTGAAAGATATTTCAATTTTGATATTTGTTGACCATATTTTAAACCCCACATCACTGAAATTACTCGACAATTCAGGGTGGAGCATTGGCAGGTCCGGAAGGCTGAACAGCTCAGAACCATAATAATTTCGAAATTCAATGAAAGAGTGTCGGCCTTTGATATTACTTTTTATCATTCAATTTTAATTTTTGATTGTGAAAAATTAATTTCGTCCATGAACAATCTTTGCATTTTAAGATATATAATTTTTGAAATGGCGGAGATAGCCAACAATTTATTTTCGTTAATGCTTCACAGGTTCATACATGACGTGCTCTGTGATCATAAATCAAAAATATATATACAAACTATAAAACTTATTGAAATCTGTTGCTTAGTTCTCTTTTTTAAACTTAAAAGGTCAGCTGAAAATAGTGGTCAAAATACCTTAGTGTTAACCCTGTTTACATAGCATTTAGACATTTCCCTAGCTGGCCTAGAGATATCACAAAATTGGCCAGTGACCTTTTGCAACTACACAAGTGACTGTATTCAATGCTACGAGGAGCACTTTTTCGGAATTCAGGCATGATACATCAATAAATTGCAATAAATAGGATATTTTCGGCTCGAAAAAAGGGTACTATTTCATGCGTACAAAGACTACTTGCAAGCACCATATCTGCTGCCATATCTCCCTGCACCCCTTCGTAAACACTTTGCCATATTAGCTAAATCAAGCTATATAAATCACAATACATGCAGATATTCCTTACAAAAAGAAAATATAAAGCGATATATAATATAAACAAAAGTAAGATATAAAAGACTGTAAAGAAAAACATCTTAGAAAACAAGTATTTGGCCCACCACTAATATCGAGTACTGCTGTCTCTCGGCAGACAGCTCTGCACTCTGATTGGTGGAAATCAAGGCTAACTAGTGCTGGGCAACGAAGTTATGACCAAGTACAGCATGCTTAGGAACGATGATGACGTAGTTGGGGGTGGTAGATTTAGCGTGAAGACCCACCAACAGATTATTTCCTGTCTTATTACTATTGGCAAAAATAGCGAAGTTGGGTTTATCAACAACAGCATTAAGGGTTCTTTTCTGAAAATATAAAAGGATTCATCAGACTTTTCTAAAAACATCAAAATATGACTTCTAAGTGGATCACCTGAACCGCCACAAAATAGCTTGAACGCCGTGGCTCCCTAATGACGTCATTTTCTGATAAGCAAATCAGCGCCGAGCAAGGCTTACTCTGATTGGTCAGAGAAATATCGGGAGTTTTATGTTGAGGGGACCGGAGTGCGCCTTTGGTTAGGAATTTTTCACGGCGGTGGTAAAATCCTCTGGCATATGCTCTGGCTTGTCTAGCAGTGCCATCTATAATAGAAGTCTTCAACTAGCAGTTTGGCACTTATGATCGCCTAGATGACGCTACCAATCGGTTTAGGTATTTGTTTGACTTGATGAATGAGCGCAACGTGATTAAATAGGTAATTACTGACTCTCGAATCTGCTTAGAAAGTCATTTAGAGCGTATGTGATACTTGCTACCAAATATCTTACGCACTCAGTTTCTGCTTGGTGTTTCCATGCCTTTTGAATCGATCAAGAAAATGTCACTGCTCAGAGGTTGAAGGTAAGCGGGAAAAGGGGTGTTACATATTTGATCTTTCTATAAATGAATGCAGAATATGAATAAATGCAATCCACTAAATATAAGCTGCAAGGAGTGCATCGAACTCAACAATCAGCTTTATTTTCATCGCTTTCATGGAAACAACTTAGTCTTATGCTTAAATGTTGGGTAAAAACTTTGCAATATTCCACTCATATGATGCCCAAATGTACGACGTACAATTCATTTGAAGCCCATGCGTCGTTTATTATCAAAACTACATAACATGAAGAGCATCATAAACTTGGCAGGCTTTTTCTATTTGGTGGCCAGAACTCCATTACCACATTTCTAGATTTTGTATTTGCTGCGCAGCATTTGTCGACATGGCGGAGGCCGAACACCTGAAAGTAGATCGAGCTGGCATGTGAATCTGGCAACTCCTATGTAAACGGGGCTGTTGTAATTTCGAACCGGTTTTACCTAGTTCTCTATATACCGTGTCTTTCACTTTTGCTCCAAGTTTTGCTCTGTCGTGTTTTGTTTTCGTTTTGATCAAGGTTGCACCATTCAAGGTTAACGAAAAAGAGAACCGCACTACTCGACCGCTACCGTCGCAGCTATTTCATAACCATGGGTGGAGAACCTGCCCCGGCCACCCCGGCCGTGGCGCCTTGGCCGTGGCCGGGGTAACTTTCAGCCTACCCCGGCGCGGCCGGGGTAACTTTTCTACTCTTGTAAATCCTAAAAGCTGTCTCCATACGAGAAAAGAAAACTCACGCTCTTCGAATGTTGACTTCCATGGGCGTAATATTGCAAATCAGGTAGGTATTTACCATTTACTTAACCCTCGCCCGTAAACGGCGATCTGCCACCTTCGCCCATGCAGGGGGGGGGGGGGGTGCGACTCCCCCCTTGGCGTTTGAAAACGGAGCGTCGTAGAGCTTAGCGGAAAAGACCAACGGATTGCTCTCGCCGAGATCTCGCGATTGGTGGTATATTTTTTGGTCCTAGGTCAACATTTGACCTACTTTTGACCGGTCCAAGGTTAAATTTTCGGAAAAATAGACCTTTTTCAACTTTCCGCGGCGATTGCGGCAAAACGGTGGGAGATATCGACTTGAAACCTTCACTACCCAGTAAACATGCCGACGTCGGCCCGACGTCGGGGTGACGTCGGCAACTCGGCATCAGCATGCCGACGTCGGCCCGACGTCGGTCCAACCTCGGCACGACGTCGGCTGGATGTCGTATATGCCCGCATGTTCCGACGTCCAGCCGAGGTCCAGCCGACGTCGGGCCGACGTCGGACCGAGATCAATTGCTGAGGTCCAGCCGACGTCGGGCCGACGTCGGGGCGACGTCGGACCGACATCGGCCGCTGTTTTGACCGTTAAAATAATATAAAATACATGTTTCATGTTTCATAAATAGCTTCTGTATTCAAAATATCCTCAGGAAACTCAAATCTTCCTCCACGCCGCAACCCCCTGATCCGGACTGGACGGGAAACTTTATCCCATTTGGGATTGCCCGTAAGCCGAGCTCGCCCGTAGCCGGGTGCGGTGAGTGCTTGGGGGCTGCTCGGCCTATCCTTTGGTCAGGCTCAGCCCCGGCAACTCACGAGGGCCGGGCCCAGTTCATATAGAAAGGCCAGTCGGCAAGTGTCACTTTGCCAAAGTGCCACTTATCAAAGGGACACTTTGGGAAACGTTGGTGCAGGTGTATAAGAGTGGCTATATGAACCCATTGTGGGGTCGCCCTTTCCAATAAGTGTCACGTAACAGCAATGGGACCAGGGACTCTATATGAACTGGACCCAGGGTGCTCGCCAAGAAGACCAATGTCTCCATCCTATGATCTTTCCGGTTCTGAAATGGTCGTGTCAGACCGAAAGGGCATAACCCAACAAAACAAACCTAATTCGTTTGCTGGCTGCGTGGTGTAGTGGTTAGCGCACTAACCGCGCGTTCGAATGGCACGGGGTTCGAATCCCATCGCCGGCTGATGCTTTTGGCGTGTTGTCCCAGTAAACATGCCGACGTCGGCGACTGGGGGGCTCGAATCCCGCCGCCGGTCGATATTTTTGGCGCGTTGTCCCAATAAACATGCCGACGTCGGCCCCGTCGGTCCAACGACAAACGATCTCGTCAACCTCGGCAAACGATCTCGGCCCAACGTCGGCTCGACGTCGGCTGGACTTCGGCTGGACGTCGGAACATGCGGGCATATCCGACGTCCAGCCGATGTCGGGACGAGGTTGAACCGACGTTGGGCCGACGTCGGGCCGAGCCTCGGCCCGACGTCGGGCCGACGTCGTCATGTTTACTGGGTATCGTGTTCCTTGATCAATTTTTTATCGTTTGGTATGTATTTCGTTTCCCTAGCTCTAAAAATGGCGCGTTGGGAGCGCCGGAAGTCGGCAAGGTCACAGTCGGCGGCAGAAATTCGGAAAATCAAAATTTAATTTTTTGAAATATGATTGTATTTTTGGATTTGGGAGGTCCATTTGCTCCCTATAGAAGCTAATATTGCTGCATATTCCCATTGAGGTGACAAGAATTAGCAAAATAGTGGTTCGGGCGCTTTTCAAAAATAGTACCGGACGCTGTTCCTCTTGTGACGTCATAGGCATAGCTCCGTGACCTGACCTGACACGGTCAAGTTTCTTATACCATATGATAGCCAATACTTGCCCCAACAT